AGTTGAAAGCACATATGTTCATACCACATGTCAATGCATCCCTTCTTGAGTGGGGGGGGGGAATCATCCCATAAACTCAGCTAACTTTGTATCATCTTAACGCGTTTATGGGATGATGTTAGGAAATTAATAAAGAAGGGATGCATTGACATGTGGTATGAACATATGTGCTTTCAACTGAAGAGATGTAAAAAATAAAAAAAAATAAAAGAAGATGTGGATCATATTTAAATGTCCATATGATGATAAGCGAGTGGAGATCATCTGACCCCCATTTGTATTCGCCTCCACATCACAGAGGAAAGTTCTCCTCATCTGAGAATAAAGTGACATTTTTCTACAAATTGATTGAACAATATAAGGCTACTTTAATTTGGAAGATGAATAGGCCTGATCTCACCAGACCCCTTCTCCCTCAACAATATTAAAAAATTATCCACACAGCAGCTCGAATATTCTTTTGAATCGATTACTGTTTGACAAAAGACAAAGTCTTATTGAAGCAGTGGTTTCTGAACATTTCCCAATATATTTTTAGTTTCTGAGAGCTAAAAAAAAAAATGCAGGATACATGAAACCTTCTGACACAACAACACTGACTCTAAAGCAAGGATCAAACATTGTCATTAAGATAGATCATGTATGAATCGTGACAGATTGCTGAAGAAGGTTCAGGTGTGACCACGGAGGTCTCTTATTGAACAGCTTAAATGTGGCTATACGTCTGTGATACAAGCACTTCATTTATCAGCTGTGTGTGACATGTGAAACTGATGCAGTCAAACATTTTGTATTTGGAAGAAGCCCAGAGAGGCAAACCGCTGCATTATGTTGCCAAAACACAAATGAAACATGATAAGCAGATTAGGCAGTCATGGCAGCGAGTTTCCACAGGAGAAGAGGAGACAACTCAATCCTCAACCAACATAAAATATATATATATATTGTAGAAAACAGAGTGTGTTTCATTTGAAGAAAGAATAATTGGAATTGGCGGAAGAGGCAGGTTGTTTAAATCTATTTTTTGTTTCACATATATCGTTGTCTCATGTTTTGCCAGCCTGTTAAGCTTTATTCTATTGTACTCCCACAGACATGTTTTTCAGTACTAGCATTTATACAGTGTATTTCAAGCCAGTGTGTATTGTGGCTGTGCAGTTTGGGTATTTTTGTGTGATCTGCAGGATATATATTCCATCTGTCTAACCATAAAAGAACAGTTAAAAGCAAGCAACTAACTTATTGCTGACTAATGGAATACTTAAAAAAGCATAAAAGCATGTATCATCACACAAAATCCTGTGTCTCAATAATACCCGATCACGTGATGCTTTACGTCGATGCGTTGTGTGTTAATTAATGAGGCCTAATTCGCAGTTAAGTCGTACATGAATTAACGCGTCATCCAATCAGCTGCGTTAAGTGGACCGAGGCTCCTCAGACCAGTGTGTCTAATGAGCCCCTCAACGAGCGGAACACCACCTGATTCTCCTCCTGGAGCTGGTTGAAGGGACTTTGGTCTGCAGCGCCAGTGGGGTTGCTTGAGTTCCCGCGTGCCCCTTAACTCTCTGCATCGGGTCCTTGTTCAATGCATTCGCAAATTCATTTGCAGGCTGCTCAGCCACGAGTCCGTGACCGAGAAACGTGAAGGGTCATGACGGTGGGATGAACCAGAAGTAAGCTGCAGTCCTGGGATCATTTCTGAGAGAGGTCAAAGAAGAATGAATGTGACTGAAGAAAATATTTTTTAAAAATAACCAAAATAGGCATGGTGACATACTGCATGATTTAGCAGTGACCTAAAGTTCATTAAGTAATGGATAATTAAACGATGCATTGCTGGGTCTATTAGAATGCATTTATTAGATCCTACAGTGTTATTGAATCATAACTGCGGCAGCATAATGCAGTTTTAGTCCTGATTGGAGTTACTTCTCTGCTTAAACATATAAATGAAAGCATCCTTATTTGAAAGCTATTTGAAGGCGCTCTCTTGCTGCTTCGCCCCCGGGGGATGAGAAGCAGCTCCGGGCTCAGATTACACTCCAAACAAGCCTCAATCAGGCCAAATTATTAACGAGGATTCACTGTAACATGCAGATCTTATCAGAGCTGGGTCAACGGGAGCACTCTTCTGGGTTTGACAACGATGGCTGGAGAGAGAAAAACACATCAGAAAATGAGTTTAACCGGA